GGTTCATCTGTTTCACTCAACGATCGGCCATGTGCGTATGAAAACAAAGGCACTGCGCATGCGCGTTTTACTCATATTCTATCGCGATATTTCATTTTCCTATCGTTGCCTAACATTATACCGGTATTACCGTGAACGGTATAATATGGCCCAGCCCTACCAGAGAGATGTTCTGCTGTTTGGTATATGCAACATCATCAGGAGGAAGAAAGAAGTTTTTCAGGCCCAAATAACACTCTATGCTACTCTGTCTGCAGCTGTACGTACAGCTCCTCTGGGGATTTCTGCTCTGGTTGACAGCACTTTAAAGGCTGCTGTCACAGCTTATGTAGCTGGGTTTGGTCTTGACAGCCCATCGCTGAAGAGACTTGCTGCCATCACAGGTGTCTCCTACACTGATCTGTGCGCTGTCATCAATTCACCGCTGGCCACAAACACCATAACTACAGATCTTATCCTGAATGAGTTGACGACACTTCCAAGCACAGCTAAAATAATGAGAGCAGATAACGTGTGCAGGTTCATTCCACTGTTTGGATCCCTGCTGACAGCTGGTTTCTCTTTCACTATAACCAGTCGAGCTCTGCAGTTTTTCCTCAGTGAGCTCACTGATGATGCTGAGAGGGTGTTTAGAAGGGCTCTGAGTTTGACCACCTCAGTGTGGTATTGTTAAAATCTGGCATTCCTCACAAATTTCACCATTTTTAGACGAGCTGTAAACTGGGGGAAAGCCAGTGTTTCTCTGAGCTGTGGGTCGTTTGGTGTTCCATATCACTCTATATAGAATAGAATAGAATTCAACTTTATTGTCATTGCACATGCACAGGTACGTGAGTGAGTATATTACAGAAATGGGTCTATTATGGTATGTAATATGTACACGGTATGAAGTATGTTATGAATATTCTATAACTAAGTATGTACAGGCTATGAACAGGATATAAATATGAAATAAAAACTATACAGAATCTGAAATATACAGTTATACAGAAATGTGAACTAAGCAAGTTATAAACAGTTGTAGGATTAAAAATTATCGTATGTACAGAATGATTATTTACACAGAGCTATACAGTAGTGCAGTTAAGATAAGTGAGATATGTGGATAATTTCTACAGAGGTATATAAAGTGCTAGTGGTTGTGAGTG